CGGCCAGTCTTACACTTTCCCACTCAGCATTTCCTTGCCACGACCCCCGTTCTGCCCACCTGTACTTCCCTAGCTAGCCTCCAAACTCCTCTCTTACACGTGCAGTCTCGTTCTGGAGCTCCTGCATTTGAATCAGACTGCAAACCACCTCACACTGTCGTGGTATTAACATACAGATCACTGACACCAAGCAGGGCAATTAAAGAAAACCAAACTAAACAAAAGAACGTAACACAACAGGGGAGAAGACAGGAGGAGAGGTGGATCAACAAAGTTTTTCCAGTATGAGCAAAACAACACATGTTCCCCCTCACCCGTATTCCAAATAGCTGAATCACGTTGTTTTTCCAAACAATGCAGCCTGAGACACCAGGCACGGAAAATTTTGTTGTGAATGATTCAAACCTGGCAAAAACACGAGCAAGTGAAAGCAAATGTACTGCCAACACAGTGAAAGGAACAACCCTACCTGCAGTGGAAGGGGAAGACCACTGTTCCTACTGGTATCCATATCATATAAGCACATTAAGGACCTGTGGTGATCCGGGACAGCAATGGTCCACAGCAAGTACACCCTAGAAAGCTTTCTCAGGTACAGATCTGCCAGTAAGTGCTGTCACTGAATAGACCTCAGGATAGCTGGTCTGTACACTCGAACACATGTTTTAAATATGCTGATTAACTATTATCTCCATTAGCTCTAAGCCACAAGGTGCTTATAGCCCATATAAGAATGCATGAATTATTCTTGTCAAGCTTCTGTTCATTAGAAAGAAAAGAAAAAAAACATGACAAACAAGGTGCACTTCTCATCTGAATTTGCACAAGAGCATTTCAATAGCTTACAAACACTGCAAAACTCTGAGATTCCTGAATTGCTGTATTAATATTTGCCAGGTAGGTAAGAAAATATTTTAAATTAATCTAGTAGCGCATAAGGTGTGGGGAAAACTAAGGAGTTACGGCTGTTGGTAGGACATCATGGATTTTCTGAAAGGAAATCTTGGGATATTTTTAGTTCATCCCTTTGCTAGTACTACAAGATCAAGAAACAAGCTTCCATCCATGTTTTGAGTAATAAAATAGAAACTGTAACAGGAAAAAATAACTAAAAAACATTGGAAACTTAAAAGCTAAGCTACAGCTGGAACTGAAGCTACAGCTCCATAGGCCAGTTTATGAGAGCTGTAACATAGCTGCTGTATGTTGGTGGCAAAACAGCGTGTTTCAGCAAGCTCTGCAATCGCACCAGGCTAGTCCTTACAGCAGACACGGCGAGAGCACGTGCAAGCAGTTCAACGATATGAATGAAAGCGCTGACCTGCTCTGATTATAGTTACTTCAAAAAAATGGTCAAGCATGATTTAGATCACAAACAGTGTATTATTAGCTTGCACCTCCAGGTCCGTAATGCTGATTTTTTCCCCCCATCTTTTAGCACAGAGTAATTAGCATGCAGGATACTTCAATTACCTGGCCACGATGGGATGGATAAATGAAGTGACTGATAAATAGTATTGGCAATACAGTATACTGAAGTGGTATAAGTTTTATCTTAACTCTAACTGGTAGTCAGCTTACTATGGAAATACAGGTACACAAAAAATTCTCACATTTACATCAAGGATAGGGATGCAGCAAATGCCCTAATTTACTTGGAACAAAAACGGGAAGGACAGAAGGGGATGATCTACCTCACATCCATGCAAGTGTTAATACACATTAGAAAAAAGTCATACGGAGAGATTTCTACTGAGCCATATTCTGCTATTGCGGAGTACTTTCTATCAGCAAAATCTATTACGGTCTCCCGTCCCAAAGGGACTTTAGGCTAGGTGTAACATCAACTATGCAAGTACTGATTATTGACTTAATGGAGCCCAGTAATTGGCCAGGATGAAGCACATCTCTTCAAAGATAGCTAACAAAAGCTTACGCGCTTAATTGGGAAACACATACAAGGCTTTCCATGGCCTTTATACCTAAGAGAATGCCATTCTAATACGAATTCTGTTAGGCAGTGAAAAGGTGAAAAGCAGGATCGCCCCATCCCAGGCAGAGATGTGTACCAGGACTGTGTGGGCTGCCTGAATTAAATGGCACCCCCTCGAATGGGGGTTCAGCCCAGACTGGTTTCCCTTCTTTATGATCCTGTAAACCCATACTTACGTTAATGAGCATTATTCTTTAGGATGAACTATGGTAAGACGTACTTTTCTCCTCTTTGGTAAAATTACACTACATGAACTGGACAAAGGATACTAGATACAAAATGAAACTTCGGTCCCCTTTTTCATTAATATAAATAAAGTTTTGGCAGACTTTGAAAGCCACACACAAATTTCTCCATGTTTGGATACTTCTAACTTCTTCTCTTAAAGAAAAGCGCAGTTTTTACACCATGAGTTTTGTGTGCAGCAATTTCAAAAGAAATCTTTTAGATTTCTGAGGAAACAACATAATGGACATTACTCAGAGGAATCCAAGGTGCAGCTACAACAGCCCTCATTATGTGCATGAGATGCTTCAGCATTCCTTGCTACTGATTACATGAGTAAACATTTTTAGTTTGCAAAATCCTATTAACTCAAGGGGATTTTGCATAATTTTATAACAGCTCCATTTGTGGTGTCTGATCGACTGGGTTAGCAAAATAAAGACAGATGGCAAAGAATTAATTCTAATGCTGCTTTATTGCAATGCTGCCATTATAATTTTCTCCACCCACTGCATTTGTAAAAACTAGAACTTTTCCTACATTCCCTATGACTAAAAGTAAGACACCACACAGTAAAAAGATAGCAAGTTTTTGGTTTTTTTAAATGTAAATCTAGAAAACAAAGCCAACCTAATTGTCAATACTAGGAGGAGAAGAGCAACAGATAGAGTCCAAACATTAGCAGTGTTAACATATAATAAATGATAACGAACAGAAAGATTCTATAGCAGCAGGACATAGGCCACTGGTCAGTAAGTGCACTTCCACAGCTAAACCCTCCTCCCAAGATTATTTTTTCCGCCTTCTATGCTTTCTTCCTATCCTGCTTTTATTTGGTTTGGGCCAGTCATCCCTCATTTCATGAAGCCTTACAACCATCAGCAACAGCTGTTACAAAGATTTTCTTTTCTACCTTCCCTGTATTTTCCTGTTCTTCTAAGGGGAACTGCCATAGTCAGTACAAAGAGGAAGACAAATGGAAATTATTCCCTCCCCACATAAAATCCTAAAGTAAAAGGAAAAGGGAATCGCCAAGAAATAAAGGAATAAAATAATCTAACTCTCAAAAGAAAGAGACTACACTGGAACCTATCCCTCCAATTAATTAGTGGTTTCTCTTTTTCATTTTTTAATCAATCAATTTTCAAAAGTAACAATATTAGTTTGTCTCAATCAATTATTATTATTTTGTCCTCCATAATTCTAATGCATAGAGCTAAATATTATCTAGTACTTAGAAATTCGGGCTTAGTATATTTAGAGGGCAAACTATTAGCAGTCCAAAAATGATACCCTATATTATTAATGCATTTTTTCCCCAATTGTGGGAAACGGTCCCAAGAGAGAACAATGAATTTTGGCCGCAATTTGCCAGCAGAACTCAACCTCTTCAGAAGCACAACTTATGCCTGGAAAACCTCCAAAACATGGATCTAACGCAACTGATAAAAATCTCAGCCAAATGATTCTACAAGAGCCTGAAACTTAGAGATGTGATCTACCCATAAACTTTGAGGAATCAACTCAGAGACCCACATGGACACAGTTCATATTCTAACTATTTCACTTGTCAAAGCATGAAAGAAAAGATAGGCTTTTTTGAATTCCAGCATTATCCAAAATGGAGTAAGGATGTAATGGGAATGATATAATAACATGCAAAAGTAAAAAAGGATTTCTTTTTGTTGAAAGAGTACTCGCTTTTGGGAAATAGTCCCTTCATGTTTCTCAACATGACAGTTCCTTTATATGGTACTATGCCATCATTCTCTCAAAAATACTGTTTTCTGTAACTAGAGTAGAATTCTTTTTATTACTTTTTCTTAAAATATTACAGCTTTCATCCCTATTTCTCATACATCAGGCTGCATTATGAATGCTCCACTGAAATCCAGATTAACTGAGATTGCATCAGAAATAAGAGCTTAAGGTTATCACAAGCTACCTGACATCTCTTTCAACAATATTCTTATATTTGAAAAGCCTAATTAAAAATTCCAAAGTATTTTAACATGAAAAAATGGTGAAAAAATCTAGTAAGTTTTTCCTAATCCAAAGAAAGATTTCATTTTCTTTTGGTGCTACAGATGATAGCCTCAACTTTCACCACTAGCAGTGCATTCAATCAACTCCATCCCTGAAACATATCCCAGATCTTTGGCCTCATATCTCACTACAAAGTAAACGAAGGCCAAGTCAACAAGAACTTAAGGAAGTCGTAGCTGGCTAGCCACCCTTGGCACATCTATATTAGACCAGTGATAATCATAAAGTAAGGTAGGTACAACCCCAGGACATCAATTATCTCAAGTTTTGTCATCAACAGCTCGCACAATTGTCACACTCAAGGACAGCGTCAGCAGATCAGCTAAGGGGGCCTGAAATTTCCTCCCATTCCTGAAGAGGTTCATTCTGGTGCAGAATGAACAATACAACAATATTTTATCTTTTCCACCTTAAAAATTAAGTCTGAAATGTTTTCAGTGGTGGGTTCATGGTAAAGAAATGAATCCAAATTACAAAGTTTGCATTTAATCTAAATGAATCTAAAATGGGACAACAGGTGGTTATTCCAGTCCATCTTCACTGTATTATACAGAAGCCACATTTTTCGCAGTGACAGTTATCTTACTCTACAGCTATTTTCAGCCTTGTGCAGTGCAACCTCTCCACAAAAAGTAAGTCCAGATGTCAAAGAAAAGCAAGAGATTTTCTTGTCATATTTTTGGGGGAAGGAGAGGGAGTGGTTTTGGGGTTTTTTTGTTTGTTTGTTTGTTTTTACCTGAAATGGCGACTGACTGTTATAATTCTTAATCTCCTTGTTGGCTCCTCGGAACAGCAGCACTCTTGCACAGCTCTCCTGAAAATTGTAGAAGGGTAAACCTGTTAATTACAGTCTTTAGTTATTAAAGAGATACTATGGCCATAAGATGTGTTGCTGTTTGGCACATATTTCCCAAGATAAGAACAGCAATGATAAAAGAAAAAAAAAAAGAATTTGACGCTCATGTGGTAATAGTAATGTTTACAGTAAACAGTACCTGTGATGAATGAGCCTGTAGCCTACTGCTAAAAAGTAAACCAAGTTTTACTGCTTGCATGCACTTGTTCTCATTTTTTCACCTATTGCCAATGCTAAAGATTTAAATACATGCAATACTAATTTATTTTATTTTTTTAAGAGCATTTTCAGGCAAATTTTTGGGCTGGCTATACATGCTGTACTGACTAGTCTTGACTTCTGTCTCTTCCCTAAGAAATACTAACAGTTGCAACACAAATCCAACACAGTTTTACTTCTCTTTACAATGAGAGAAAAGCATGAGTTCAAGTCCTCAGAATCGATAAAATCTGCAAATGAAATCCTTTAAGATCAATTTATTTTTGGATTGATGTGCTGTATTGCTTAAGACACTAGTCTGTACTGTTGTAAAATATGACTGGCTATAATATGCTAGAAATCCTCTACAGTTCTAGCATATTTCTCAGAATACTCAACTTTTTCATGATCCGTATATAGCACTATTTCCTGTACGTCATCTTTAATGTTCACCTTAGGACCTTATGTAGGCCTTATTTCAAAGTGTTTTTATATGTCCTTGTCATAAACTTTTCTATTAATTTGATTGTACTTTTCATATCTCTGGTCACCTTATGTTACGGAGTTCCGGCGAATAAGATATTTCAATGTGCTACCTTTCATTTCTAACAGCAAATGCCATTAGAGAAAGATTGCTAGAGAAAAGCAGTGATATAATTTAACTATTTTAGTGACATAAATGAAGCTTATTTATTAGGTTCTGAGTCACAAGTGACCATGCAGAGATTATCATTAGTTTTCCTCGTTGTGTTTTCCAATTTATCATGCCAGATTCTTGACCCCATTAAGTCTCCCTCATCACAGGGTTGTCCTAAATACATCTGGGAAGGAGGCCATCCTACCCCTTCACCAAGATTTAATACTCCAAAAGATGGTCTCTTGTGCCCACACTTCCTGTTCTGCGTAACAGACTAAAACAACAGAATGGGTCATATCTCAAGACAGGATATTAGCAATCATCATAAAGATCGTAATTTTGTAATGATATACAATTAACTGATATAGGCTCATCTGCTTGCACTGAAATCTGCACCTTAGGTGTGCTCTTTGTAGCTCTAAATGGGGAAAGACCTGAACCAATGTGTAAGAAGTTGTAACGTTTTTCTAAATTTTTTGTGTTCTTTATTACTAATCATCCGGGGAGAAGTAAATGTGCTGCAGTCTAAATGAAGACCTCCGGAGGAAAAGAGTTACTTTTCCAAAAAGTCCTTCTTGACTGATTGTGGAGTGATTCTAGGCTTGGACACTATATTATATTCCCATAATAATCACATTCCACTAGGCACTGCCTAGTAAACATACTGGAAATATTAATAAAACCTGTTAGAATTAAAATGCTCAATTTTGTATCAATCTAGGACTTGGAGATATAAACGGTATTAAGAAACATACTATATTTTATTGCCTGATTATTCATTTGGTTATCAAGATTTGTGGGTTAGCATAAATTACACATTTTAAAATTTTGCACTTGATCTGCTAATGTAGCTTTAACGGTTGTATGCAGTACAACAAAAACCATGCAAAAATCAGGGAGAATAAGTAAAAAAGCCACTACCAAAAATGATTTGAATGGCTGTTGTTGTTGTTGTTGTCAATTTACTGGAAACAAGGATGGCCTTGATGTTCCACACTTTAGAGCTCTTGCTGTTAAGGTGCTTCCAATCAATGCCACAACTCCTACTTGGACACAGCACAGCTCTTAAAGCTAGTAACTTCTGATGTTGAGAGCTTAGTATTGTTCATTCATTATATCATACATACCCTGAAGATGCAGTAGCTTTTAAGCCTTCATAGGATTTGACAAAGAATTCAAAGAATTTTACAAAGAAGTGTGGACTTGTCAGCAGGTGAGGTTCAATTTCTTGTCCACGAGCGCTAAGTAACTGATTCACTAGTACAAGAGTACTCATAGAGAATCTAATCCATTATCTGAAAGAAGGCGTGCTTCATCCCAGCACTTTTATTTGCAAAATATAGAGTAATAAAATCTGTCTAGATTTCATTGAGTGACTGAAGGGCCACAAAGAAACTTAAAAAACAAGAACGTATTCAGATCAGCACGTCGCTGACGTTCACAAAGACAGAATTACTGACTTACAAAGCATTCCGAGAAAATTCCCCAGGGAAGAATGGAAGGGAAAAATCAAATGGGTAATGACTCCATCTACAGGAATCAAGAGGTAGAAAGGATACTGCTCTCCTTCCCATTCTCTCCATCCAGAAAAGGTCAACCCAGGTCCTTCTGTCTCAGCTAATAACACCCTTCAAGCAAAGGGATACTGAAAAAAAATCAGAGATCATCGTTCACAGCACCCTGAGAAAAATTAGTAACTTTTTATTTTTACATTTCCCTGATTAAAGGAAACAGAATCATGGTATTGTGGTCAACAAGACGTAAAACTCCCTGTCACAAAGTCAAACCTAGCAACCATAAAAATATTTGAAAATTTTTAGATGAAATTTCAATGCAAGACTTTAGGTGTTGTATAGAATAATTTTTTTCCACTGTGGTCAGGAGAAAAACACATCTCTACCTGAAAAATACATCGCACAAGATTATTCCAATTTCTGCATCATACTGTGCAACCCTGGCTAAAAGCATATGACCTTATAAACATCTGTAGTCATGAAAATACTGCAGTAAAAGGGTAAAAATTAGAGATGAGCTCAAGTTGTTGAGTTCATACGTGGATTATAGTCCAAACTTGAAAATTCTTAGTCAGCAAAAGTAATATTAATGAAATTTAAGTAAATACTTTTTAAAGTATTTTTTCAACAGAAATTACCATGGATGCATGCTTATAGTTACCTGCGTTAAGTTGTGCTGATGTGACACCTACACATGAAAATTTTTGTTGACGTGAAGGTGAACTTCATTTCTCTGCAAAGCTCTCTAGAAACTTTGATAACTGCCAACTTACAAAAGCTTTGTTTACCTACAGTCACAGAAGTGATCCGAGTTACGCACAGAGACCTTTCCAAACCTTAATTTGATGTAGATACTTAACAGCCACAGGCCTGTTGAAGTCACCTGGTACACAGCGAGCAGCCCACACAGAAAATGCTCCCACTGATAGGCTGAACACTTCAATCAACAATCAGCATTGATGGGAAAGAGCTGCAAGGCTGGATTGTTATAAACTGATAATCAATTGTGACACATACATCAAGTCAACAGTCTTGAAAAACATCAAATTATTCCCAAAATTCTCTTTCCAAAGTAGTCAAGGATATTTTAGATAAATTAAAGGAATCTGCTTTGACAAGGCTTTTCAGCTGAGATGGTAATTAATTAGGAAGCAGATGCTTTAACAGATGTTTCACTAGTTACAATCATGTCTCATGACTTGTGTTTTTCTAATTCAACGTAATATTGTATGTGCTGTGTTTTAACATAGTTGTAAAACTCATTCCCTCTCTGTCCCATCCGTGCAAAGAGTATAAAGTACCATCACATCAAAACGGTTCTATTATTTGCAAATGACTACACAAGCTGTACACAGCAGAGCATCAGATATCTGTATAATATTCAGATATATTTTCACACTATTTTCCAGGTACTTCTTATTTAATTCCAATTTAAGTTTTGGCAAAATAGCAAGAATTTCTGAGTAGGAAACACGTACTTAGATATGACAGCAAAAAAAATGTAATCCAGTAATGCGTTGTGCTGTTTTCTTTTCAAATTAAAAGTATAATCTTGCTATTTACAATAGGCAGCTTTATTTGTAATCAGTCACTAAAACACCAATAAAATAAAATAAATTTTAATTAGGCCCTTTCTAGTTATTTTTAAAAACTGTTTAAAAGCTGTAATAATAAAAAGCCAAATTTTTCTTTAGTGTAACTTACCTCTGTAGTTTCATACTAGCAGGAAACTCATCCCAAAACACATTTATTAATTAATTGAGGAAGCTACAGCTCAGGAAAATCTAGCATCTAACCAGGAAACTTCTTCAACAGAATGAAAAAAGCCATTTTTTGCATGGATTGATATTAAAGATTTAAAGTTGATTTATACCTCGATTATGCCTTTTTTCTTGGCTCCATGTAACTCTCTTTCAGCACTGGTTTCCAGTCTCCACTGGACTGGACTCCCCAGACCCATCGTCCTGCTGAGGAGAGACACCCCTCCCACTTAACGGCACAGAAAGGACACAGCCTGTGACCCCGGCCACCCTTCGCGGTAAGGTCTAGACCGTAGCTGCCAGCGGGAACCTTTAGGTCACACGTTATGATCCCCTTGTGTCGGACTTGCAGTCAAATCAGTGTGGTAGCGGTGCAGAAGAGCATCGGCTCACCTGGTTGTAAAGGGCGCAGATATGCAGCGCTGTATTTCCCGACGCGTTCTGCGCGCCCATGTCGGCTCCATAGAAGAGCAGGTGCTCTAGATGCTGGACGTGCCCATACCGACAGGCCTGTAAAGAGGTGCATTCACACTTCTGGTTATTATACAACCTAGCTGTAGCATGTAAAAATTCCAGGTAAGCGATTTTTATGTTACTTAGGCCCTATTTTTTAGAACCACACCTAGGTTAGACAGGAGGCCTAAAGCCTAGATCTGTATACCTACCTGTAAACTTAATGTTCTTCACGTGCAGCAAGTATTTGAGGAAGTGCAATGGAAAATATCGAGAAAATATCAAGTTTGCTACTCTTCATTCATTAATACTTGCAATTGTTAAATGGGACAAGTAATTGACGGAACACTAATTTTTCATCCTGCAAACTGGTGGAAAGTTGTCCACTAGATGGCACTGAAGATGATCAGATTTCTGAAGCCTGCTTTTAAGGTGTGCAAACAGTTTGGGGAAATCTGGACAAAACAGTTCAAATAATAAACTTCTAGATTCTGTGATGTCAGCAGAAGCACAGTATACACAGGCCATTGATCCAAAAGAGGGAAAAATCATCAGATGATCCTGTCAGTCACACAGATAAAAATCTTAGACCTCAAATAGTTGGAAATAAACCTTTACGGAAGGAGAGTCCGCTGAAATTCGAAACGTTCTTGATTAGCAAATAAATTCAAAGAAAATAACAGTATTCCCACTCACCAGTCTTATCTACTTGTCTCCTTCCTTCCTTATAGCACACCAAATGAGCATCTCCCAATCTGTAACGTTTTTATCTTCATACCATCTGAGATGAGTATTGTTTCTATTTAATAATAAGGAATTTAAACTAAGAGATACGGACACGAAAAACTATTCGCTCTGCTTTAGGTACCTACTTACTACTGACTTCAGGAGGAGTTAGATCACCTACACATCCTTGCAATTTGGATCAAAAGAATTTAAGAACTGAAGTGTATTGCCCAATGCGCAAATTAAATCTGAGACACACCTAGGAATGAACTTGATTTTCCAAATCCCAGACTAGTATCCTAACCACTTCATCTTTTCTTCCTCTAATTTTAGATTTCAATACACAGAAAAAATAATATTTATTAACTAGCTCGTTCATTTATGAATTATTTGCCAAAAAATGGAAACATTACATTAGTTGAGAATAGTACAGGAATATTTTAATATTAGGCACCACAAAGACATCATCCAACAGTGAGCAAAAGGATCAAATGAGACCAAACCACACCTGTGCTCCTGGTTGTGGGAGAAATTAGAGCAGATGCGCAATTAGCAGCTGAGTTACCAGTTCTGCCTAGTCTCTGAAAGTCAATCAACAGCTAGATATGAATGTGCAGGTGTAATTACTAATATATCTCCTAAAACGCAACAACTTAATGCCAACTCTCTATTCTTACTGCAATAAGCTTGGACTAAAACCAGGACCCTTCCCTTGCTGATTTTCTTCCTTTGCTGGAGCTCACTCAGTTTACCGCAAGTCACCGGCAACACCCAGCGCATAGGGGGGATACGGAGGGGGACATATCTCCCTTAAGCACAGCAGCCTGCACGTTAGATGAGCTGTCTAACCCCTTCACCAGGGCTCCCCTCTATAGTCCACGGGGAGAGGGAGGTATCTCCAGGGCATATTCATTTTATTCCTCTTCCATCACAGCACGAACCGCCACCAGAACGCCTTTCCTTCCTCCATTTACTAAAAGGGTAACAGAGAGCCTGAACTCCTACAGGTAAAGACTGTGCTAGCAAGATGAAAAATACACTTGTGACCAAGTGCTTCCTTGACACGCAAGATAACTTTGCCTTCTTCACAGCAACAGATGGGACTGTAGCACATCACCATCTTTCACACTTCACTGAGGAATGCTTATACCATTGATTACTGAGAACAGACTGCCCATAATCCAGATGTAAACTTTGGTGATTTATTTAGAATTAAATCAATAAAGTGGTTTTGGAAAGTTCAGTTTCATTATGGGAAGTAATCAGCATAAGTATATTTGGTTCAGTTTTCAAAAGAGGAAATTTTTCTCTGTATTTTTGGGGAATCCAGATGGGATAAGTCTTTGATCGATACTATAGTCACTTCTGTTTCTAATGGGATCAACAGAAACGATGGTAGTAAATTAATTCTTTTCATTTACAACTAGAGATGGATCCAAACAATCTAGATCTGAACACCCTTGCACACTTAAAAAGCTCAGATCCACTCCCAAACCTTGGCATTAAAGCCATTCACCTTTTTTCAAAGAAAAGAAGAAAAGAGGTTATATACTAACATGACAAGTGTAAACGAAAGAAAATGAACCTAGTTATTTGTCAGATAACCTAAGCAGCCTTGTAAGGACGATTACTCTTACTAGTATTCATCCAATCACGCTATATCAGATCATTTTTGTGAAAACTCAGTAATTCCTCTATACAGAGGAAAGGCAGAAAACAGCTGCAATGACGTTAGGACTGCTAGAATTTTCAGACTTTACAAACTACTGAGTTTATCACCATGCACATACAAATTAATAAAGTGTACTTTTATACAAGCATTATATAGCATTCATACCTTTCTGGAGAACACCATATAAACACTTCAGAGAAAGGTTTTGTTTAGAAAGCTTCTTACCAAGTACTATAGATCTTTTGCAGAGATATGATGAAGGCCTTCGACATGGAAGGAAGGTAATCTTCCTGACAGTTAGGGTGAAGCTGAGGGAGAGGCCAGTGCCTGATGAGCACCTGGCACCACAGCTGACTCAGGATATCCCGAGAACCACAAACTCCAAAAGATTCCTTTTTTTTTTTTTTTTAAAGTCACTTTTCCTCACAGAGCACATACTACCATCCTTACCCACCCCTTAAATTTGTAAGAGAGGGAAGGAAGACCCATGTACAAAGAACAAAATAAAAACTCCAATTGTGAATGAGTTCAACACCCCTCAGTACAACATAGTGAAGGATCCTAGCAGCAGGACCTTGAATCCAAATCTTCACTGTAAAGTTCACCACAGACAAAGGACAAAGTCCATCTGACAAAGACACGAGAAGCATTACCAGGGAAACTAAAACCGGCATCTAACAAAAAGATCAAGTTATGCGTTTCTACTGCAGGGCCACTGAGAGAACGCTCAACTTCAAACTTCCAGGGATCCATTACCTAAACATGGGTAGCTGCCAGCTAGAGCTGCAAATTCTGCAGCAAAATCCATAGTAACCACAGGATTTCAGTGTTAAAAAATTCCACTGGAACAGCTTTGACTTTTAATTCACCACAGCAGGACACAAAGTAATAAGCAAACAGAAAAAGGAAGTAGCTCCGTATGCGTATGTGCATGGACTAAACGTAGCCGAATGGCCTTTAAAATACTGTTTAACAACAGAATATATTAAATACATTTTCTGTACTATAACATAATAGAAAAAGTAAATTTTCTGATATGGCTTCAACTGACAAAACGTCATCTCTCCCACCTGATGAATTTCTTGCCATCCATTTTCATCTTTGCAGCTGACTGTAGCGTGTTCATGAAGCAACAGCTCGCAGCAATAAGGATCCCCTCCCACGACAGCAGTGTGGTACAGTGGTGTCAGGCCACAGCTGTCTTTATAGTTAGGAGATGCTCCAAGCTCTAAAAGGGTCTGAAAGCAATTACAGATTGTGAAAAATTGTATTTTGGAGGGATTTCTAGCTGAAAAAGAACTTCTGTAACTGAGTAAGTATTTACTAGGTTGATGTTTCCCACAATTATATTTATTGCTTACTTATTTATAAGCTGATAGAATGGGCAGTGGCAGAGATTAAGTTAAGCAAGGAACGACCTCGGAAAAATAAGGATTTAAAGGAATCTACAGGGCTAGCACAGAAATGATGAATGACCATGTCCAATTTCCATCCTGCCATTAAGGTTCAGGGCTGGCATTCTGAAAATGTCCCCATCACCTCAGGAACACATTTGCCTCTTCAGTTACAAGATGCTTTATCAAAAATGTCATGTAACTTGAAAATTTGTCAGAAGGAAATAAGCAAATGCCATAAACACACAATCTACTCTCTAATATCAAGGTGATTTTAAAACACCAGTTAGAATACAAAGAACACAGAAAAGGTGGTGTTAAGACACAGTGTGGAAACCGTGCTATTGGCATTTGCTCTCAAAGACAGATAAGCAACAGTAATGCTATTCCTATTTCCTCAGAGAGATCTTCCCCAATCTGTCAATGAAAAAGGTTAAATTTCAGCACTTTTTCTTCCAACCGAAAAAATCAGCTTCAGAAACAAAAAGGCCTTTTATTAAAAGCAAATCCTAAGAGTTGAAAGCCACAAGAAAGCACTAGAACAGACACGTATTACAGGATCCACTAGGGACAATAAGACAATTAAATGAAAGCATTCTCCTCTACATATTCTTCTGTATAAAATAACGTATAATCTACCAGTGAAAGCATTTACCTTGAGGGTTACTTGGTTCTTGGCTCTAGCTGCTTTGTGCAGAGCTGTCATTCCATCTTTGGCTCTGAAGTCTAAATGCGCTCCTCCATTTTTCAGAGCTTTTATCACTTCTACAGTATTGTCAAGCTGAACTGCCAAAGTTAGTGGAGTCTCTAAAGAAGAGAAAAACATGCACAAGGAAAAGATGAGTAAATTTGTAAAATAAAGACCATTTGCTTTGCAAACTTTAAAAAAAAATTAAGTTAAAAACACTACTCAAAGAAAATGATAAATTTTAAATGTATCCCCCTGGACAACAAAACCATGCAGATTCTGTTACCCTAAGACTATAAAGGTAACAGAAAGAATAGGTGAGATATAACCTGTTATATCACTTTATGTTGAACAAGCCCGAGGTACTACTATGCTGCAAGTTTTATTGTTCTGACCTCCACTTTCCAGGTCGTGATAGTTGGGATCCAGTCCTCGGTCTAACATCTTTGTGATTTTTTCCACTGAGAGATGATGGACATGATCCATAAATTTTCTCAAATTGGCCTGAAACAAGCAGTGACAAATGAATTACCCTCTGATTGTAAAAAGATAGTTTTGCTTGAAAGTAAAATCTTCTGTCAGTATGTATCTATTGCTGTCACTGGCCCGGGGCGTAATGAACTCCTCCTTACTGCCAGTTTCTCAGACATGTCACTTCACTAAGTAGGCACCTGCTAACCTCCCCAGTAAACCGGGCATACCTTTGTATGAAGCTTAGCCAGCTGTTTTTCATCAAGATTGAACTGTTTGTACACTCTCTTCTTGTACCGAAACTGACAGAGAAACAAAAAGAACAAATTAAAAGGCCATGTTTTAGTTAAAAAAATAAGCGTTAAAGAAGTCTCAAACCTTACCAGAATGCATCATCCATTAATGGTGATGCAGATTTCAGCAGAGTTCGAAAAAACCTTAGTATTTCATTCAGAATGTGTACTGATATTCAGCATTATGCTTAATATAGTGCCATTAGAGTTTTACAGCTCATGTAAGCAAAATCCGTACCTTGTATAAATACACAGAACTCGGAGGAGGTGTCGGGGAAGTGAGTTCAGCCTCTGCAACCTACACAAGTAAGCCTTTCCCCAAGGGTATGCCTGCACTTTCATTTCTAGTCCCAAACAGAAAGAAGAACTGGAAAGGCCTGTATTTCAAAATATCAGCTTAGCTTGCTTGAAATTCAGGGTGGGAGGGAGGAATTCCTGAAAAATCCTTTAATCTACATAGGCAGAATTTACAGATGGAAATTGCTCTCCTCTAATGTTGAACAGAACCAGCCCTGCGAATGAGGTGCACAGGACTGCCTCTTTTTCGGCTGAAACTCATTCAACGTTTTATTCTGAGCCATTTGCTACCCTATTGCTGCAACAGAAAGATCTATGGTAAAATCACGGGCTTTACATAGTTGTAATTTACTATTACCTAATATATCCCCATTTGCAGCCAGCCAGGAAGCTGAAAGGCTCCTCTTTGATTCCCTGGCTTTGACTGAACAGAGGCTCTGCCGCCAGGCCTGTCCCCACACCCTACCCCATCCATGCGTTGCCTCTCCGGAGGTACCTCCGACCTCCCACAACCCCTTCCTGCGCAGCACGGGCGGCGGGTTGCAATGCCTTGCTGCAGCGCGGGAGGCATATGCAACGGCGCATATGGTACACAAACTGCTCCCACAAAATAAATAAAGCAAGAAACTTCTTCGAGGATGCTCGCCCCTCTTCTCTCCCACAGAGGCGCAATCTGCTTGTGATCCCACCCTCCACGTTACAAACTTTTCCAGCAGGTAGGATGTGCTCCCCACCACTACAGGTAACAGCTGGCAAAGGGAAGGGGAAGCACTTCGCCTGTCTCTCAGGACAAAGCCTTCTCACCATTTGGCCCATAATTTTTTTTTTAATGATACAGGAAAATGAAAAATGTTTTAAAATTCTGCACTTACTGCATCTCTGTTTTAAAGTATTTGTTTTTACAATATTCCTGTTTCACTAAGAATCTACCATAGTTGCGAGCATGCTACAGCTTCCTCTAAGCTAGTCATTACAGGTTATGAACAAAGCCAAAAATAAACCTCTGTTTACTAGGTAGAATTCAAAGAATGCAACACATTTGTTGGACAAGGAGACTGTATTGCATGAGGCTTTAGTATCAGCTTTTCAACAGAACGCTTTTAACCCTTGAATTGCAATCCTTTATCTGTAACACGAAGAATTCTGCTAGCAAACAGTGAACACCGGTCAAAAAGAATTCTATAACAAACACGACACAAAAAATAAGGTGGTTATTTAATTTGTTTACGGCTATAATATGGACATCAGTGACTCTCAGAAATAATCCATTAGAAAAGCTAAGACTCAAAAATTTCTCTTGACCCTCGTTTTTCTTACTTTGATCTGTGTTATACTGAGGTAAACCTATTAACTGCAGATTATTACTGGGTGATGTACCACCATACAAGCAATACCAAAAGGAATCGGTACTAGTCTTGCGCCCAGCCTCCTGCTCTGCTCCGTGCCTGCCCAGCGCTACGGGACTTCTGCGCAGTTTATCCCCCAGCTGCACAGCCCCTCTTGCTTGCACAACAGACTTGCACAACAGGGAAACTCTGGAGACAGGTGACTACTTCACACATACACACACTTTCTCTTCCCTTAGTCCTTTCCCAGAAGACAGTCATAGACAGAGCGAGGAGGGAAGGGGGAAAAGAAAAAGAAAAAAAAAAAAAGGGCGAGGGGGATCTTAACCTAGACAGAAAGATCTTTGGGGGAGGAAGTAAAGGTAGCAATTTCTACCCTACTCTTGTAAACCAAGTTTAAACCAAAAGCTCAAATTAGAACATTTCTGTATTAAATCACCGATTGTTCTCCTGAGATACATCTCCCTTGCCCTTCAGCAGAGGAAAACCCTAAAACACAGTTTCCCAGAGGGTCTGATTCTTTGCAGCCTTCACAGGGATAACATGGAATAACTCCACCCAGCAAACACCAGCACATCTGTGAGCAAGGGCTCTAGTTCAGACTTGCTGACCACTACTTCCCAAATGCAATTTATGTACATGTAGAAGCCTCAAACACAGCTTACAATACGATTTGTACTAAAAAAATATAAATGTTTCAGATGTTAGAAATAAACATACCTCTAAGGAAGGAACTCCCTTATTCACTGGCTGTGGGTACTCCCTAAGAAGCCGTTCCTCATCCAAAAATTTCCCATCTCTACCATTGCTTGCAGGCTGGAACAGTCCATAATTCAGGACATCTTTCAAACTCTGATTCAAAGTGCATAAAATCCGTTGCTTTGCAACCCACACTGAAGCTTCAGGGTTAAATCTAATGCATTTCTGCAAAGAGAAATGATTAAAAATATGTAAAATAATGAAAAAAATTTAAACAGTATCTTACATTCCAAAACAGGCAATGCACAAGCACTACGAAAACATAGGACATTTCAAGTCCTTCTGCAGACGTGAGAGAGCATAATCCTTCAGAGTGTCTTTATGCTAAACCTCTTTAAAAAGCTATGCTAAATCTCTTAAAAAAGCCAAGTGAAAGGGATGTTACAAGACGTTTACGTAGCCACTTGAATCAAGGCTGTTCTGATGCTCAGTGTGACCTGCAACAGCTCCACAAAACAAGTATTTAGGCAAGAGATCTAACTCAATTGAAATTATATTTACTTTAAGATAGGGTAAGTTTAAGAAAGGAACTATATGATGTGAAGCAGCAGAAGACCTGAACACCTAGAAAATCCAGTCCAGCCCAGTGTCGATGATACGATGACATCTCATCAACAGTGAAAAGCACAACCAGATTCTAAAGGACATGAAGGACTTCTGAATTACAACTATTTTTAATTGACCAAACATTGTGGTCAACCAGTCCTGTGTATACATTCACTTTATCAGTACAGAGATGACTGGCCAGTTTTGAATAACAAACTCCTCCTTGCTGAGGAGTCTGGCTCTGCTTCTGCGAATTAATCCTCCGACAGGAGGACTATCAGCGGACACTGATAATGAGATATCTCCTATTCATCGCTGCTGCCTAGCAGGAAACGCTACCACCGAAGCTGACACGGTATCATCTCACGCGGGCTTTTACTGAATAAGTACGGTAGGCTCATGAATATTGGGTCCTGTCCAGCTCTACTACACCTGCGGCCTGAATTATTAAAAATGCAACTCAGTTTGTCTTTCACAGGTCCCTGCATGAACTGCAGTTTTCAGATACAGCTCAAGTACTGACGTTAAGATATTTAGGGACGTGCAGGGGAAGAGGAAGAGCACTGGGCAAGGGAACGGCAGCTGGAGACATTGGAGCACGAAAGCAGAGACCGCAGCTGGAGGCACCCAGAAACACCCTGCTTGCTCTGCTGCTACGTTTCCCCTTCCTCATCAGTTGGCTTAACGCAGCACTGCGTCACCCAGCCGCTACCAGCTTCCACTCCACCGGTGCGGACCGTTTCTGCACTGATCGCAGCCTTTCCTTCCTGCCTCTTCTGGTTTTCTTTCCCCCAACTGCCTATTCTTTTCTTCTGTGCTTATAACATAATCTCCTCCATATTTATTCTAATGGTCTCAAACTTTCATTACAATATGTTCAAGAGATGCTGTGATGCAGGAAATAACAGGTTGTTTTAATCCTTTGTGGTCTTAAACATGAAAAACGTGTTCAAGGGATACAGTAGATTTAGTTATAATTAATGTTGACTAGGAAACAGTTTTCATTCCCATTACACTTCTTAAATCTGATAACAATACCAGTATTATATGTCTACCACATTAGCTAAAATATTTATAGGGTCCTCAATAGCGATATAAATGTGGAAACACTTTGCTTTTCATAGACTAATATATTCACATCCCTAGCTTTTCTACTGATTCGTAAGAAACAAAAATGCATTTACTTTAATAAACGTTTATCCCATTTACCTAATTACCAATACCTATTGGTAATTTATAATGAATTGATATCAATGAGTTAAAAACAAATCAATTTCTTACCAAAACACTAAATCAAATTGGGGAGAAAAGTGGTTATTTACACTTTCCGTCAACCCAGGCAGGACCTAAAGAGAGGCTGCTACCTATTTCTCAGAGGCAGCTGCTGAACAAGAGGATAAGAAGGACCAGTGAAATATTGCATAAAGCATATTTTATACCAGTTTGCCTCTGGACGCCCTCCCCCCTCAATGCTGCTTCTCTCCTGGACCGGTTTATCTGGCAGATGTCCCAGGAGAGAGACCACCACAGTTATGATCTCCATCAAGTAGACTAGTCCTACACCTTCTGCCATGCTTTCTACCACGAGGAAACCTCAGCTGAATCACAGCCAGGTCCCTACACAGATTTAGTTAAGAAACAAGAATTTACTGCACGTGCATTTTTCTATATCTAATTCTTTATATTTGCATTCCTACAGCCACAAGGACAGAGGACGCAAGTGTATTAAGTCACCTGTGTATCACTCCGTAGCTTTCGCAAGAGAACATTAAAAAAAGGAAACAACTGCAGAGAACACCAAAACAGAAGAGCAGAATGGGCTGGACAGACTTCTTTCTGTTCCAGAACAGTGGCTCTAGGCATGCAGATAATACCATTCTTCTGTATGATACAGGACAAATATAAGGAAGAACTTGCGTAGGTTTCACATATTTTTTCCTTCGTGATTTCCCTGTGACTATCTTGCAAATACATGCACTACCTGCTTTTATGATGTGCTATTACTTTTATGATGTGACATTTTATGTTCTTAACTTGCAGTCAGAAAAGTTACAACAATCTTTGAGTAAAAAAAATTGTCAAACTGATTTTTCTATTAAAAAGTTTTCCATGTAAAGGCATTTCCCCAAATTCTGCCATGTTTGTATTTAGGAATACAAAGCAGCTTCTTAATTAAAATAAATTCTAACTTTTTTTTTTTAAAACATTAAAATGGTTTTCATTTCCTTTCAAATGTCAGGCCATTTTCTAATCTATAATTACTACTCTCCTCCACAAGGGTCCCTCCAAAATAAACCATAGTAGCACTTCATCTCTTTTGCTACAAATTGGCTTATTTGATGCTTTTTTCTTTGCTGTCCAAACTTTGAATACCTTTTCAGCACTAGGTCCATATCTAATGACTACCTTCAAATTCCATGCTCTGCTGGCAGCTTTTGCTCTAGTTCTAACCAAGGGGCTTTGCCTTTCGCATCAGAATACAATTATCCCGCGTACTGCAGAATAATAAAATTCTGCCCTTGCTTTCATACTCACAATCCCAGAAATTTTTCCATCTTTGATTTAAAAAAAAAAACAACAACAACAACAACAAAACCCACCTCCTCTTCCATATCTTAGCAGACTAATTATTCTTTAAAAAAATACTTTTTCATCAATAATCCAAAGCTAATACATTATTACAGTCAGCTTAGTACAGAAAAAAATGTATGTTTTAATTATTTCATTATTCTAACACTAATAAACTGACACAGCTCAGAAAACAATAAGCCCCTTGCCCAAAGAGTTTGTGGTCTTTTACAATTGAATCTGATATTCACAATATGACCAATATGTCCCTTTTACAGTTGCGCATATCCTTAAAAAGCTGTAATAGAGAGAGCAGACTCCAGACTTTTCTGCAGTAGGATATAAAGGCTTACACAACTAGTAAAACCAGAGTGAGCTTTTTGATGATGGGAGGAGCGCCCACCGCAACCACACACCTGCTCCTCTGGTGATGGAGGGTTTGCGTAGAGGGGGACAAAAGATCAGAGGAGGTGTCACAGCACCGGAGGAAGGATTTTACAAGCACATCTGGTCCATGGGGATTCATTCACACCCAAATAATCTCTACATAAAGGATGAGTCTGCAGATGCAGCCACCAAAGAAGTTAGGCGCAGAAGAGAAGGGGATTCCTCTCCTTGGCATCCCACACATAGCTAATCAGCACTTGGCTGAGCGTTAGTTCCTAAACCCTACTGAAAACCATTATCGATAAAGTACGAAGGCATATTGTCAATAATGGAAGAGCAAGGAATCAAACTCGAATCCAACTCCTGCTTGAAGAAATCAACAGTTCAGCGGGCAGATGGGAGCCTGCTTTCCATTTGCTGGACTGAAACAGCTGTGGCTGTTTCATATAGCGACAGACAGACATTAAGAAGCTTGACTGCTTTCTCCTTGTGATGGCCTGTTTAAAGGGATCAAAAGGCAAAAAGCCTAGGACCAAAGTTTCATTTCATGACAAAAGTCAAGCTTGACATGTATTCTGAATAGTGTCTAGGTCATTCTTCGGTAAAAGCTGTTAGCAGCCCATCTGATATAGGGCCACATTTGCACACTTGAATACCTTATTCTTTCTTCAGGATCATTTGTTCAACGGAGCAGCACAAGTCGAGGCAACAGAAGAGACTACCCTTTTCTTTAAGTGCAATGCCTCCACAACTGTGGCGACCATAAGAAAAGAAGGAAGTAGCCAAGTCAAAAAAAGCTAGGCAACTTCTTGTAGTAGGATACCTTCAATGAGTCATTAATAAAAAAAACAGAAAAAAGGTCTCGTTTTGTGGCAAAGAACTAAAGAAATACATATGAAACATAAATAAAAATATACCTGGAAATAATAGGTATGAGATCTATTCCACCCTTCTGTTGCATCCCACGCACAGACAAAATGGGATAGTTTGTCTTTAAGGCTAACTACCTACACTATTAAAAAAAGAAACAGATCTATTCAACTAAGAAGCCTCCCCCCATCTCCAAAAAAAAACAAAATAAAACAAAAACTGAGTTGCTCAACAAACACTGTCAAAACCATACTGGGCCACTGAAAGTCCAAGTCTAGCAGCAATACAGCCATCAATATTGTTTGTTGAAATGTGAGAACTGGGTTTTAAATATGGATCATGAGAAACACGGTCAGTTATAGTCTTGCATTCCTAGGCACTCCTGAGAGTAAGCTGCTAAGTGCAGCAGTAACACTGGAAGCAAGGGGAAAATATAGCTCACCCACTCCAGCTAAAGGGAAGATATTAATTCAATAGGAGTAACGTTCACGACACAGAATCTCTGAGGAATAACATTTATGCATTCAAAATCCATCAACCAACACATCTTTTTCATCAGGCTCATGAAGAAATCAATCATACAGAACTGCGCTGTGACAGATTCACCGTGACAAAAGGTTTACACAGATGCCTCCAAAACGTGATCATTAGAATACCAAAATACAAGTGATCCCTTTTGATAGAAGACATCAATATCAAAGACGTGACAAATAAGAAGTGGAAAACGCAAATGAGGGTTTGGCATCATCAAAAAAGAAAGCAAGAAAGAAAGAAAAAAAAAACCACCAGATGCT